AAAATGATCAGTGGCCTTTACTTTCACGACTTAAACTTGAAAAATTTCGGTTAGGCAGTTTGATAGATGGTTATGCAAAATTCCCTGTATATTATGTAGGGTTATAAACGAAATTGCGGACTTGTAAAACCCTTACAAAACTTTCCAAAAAACCCTTAAGTTACTCCCTGGATAGATCATACGGAACTGCTCTTAACATTGCACAGAGAACACTACACAGAACAACATTTTCAGAAGAAGAGAGGGATCCAATGGAATGTGTACAAATTTAGTGTTTTATATCAAGACTTTTGGCAAGGATTGTGTTTATGGGGTCACTAAGGATTGCGATCATTAAGGGGTTAAGTTAATGTATCGTTCAGAGTTTTTATCGGTTGCACTTAATTTCCAACCGACTTTCTAGCTAAAACAATCTAATCATGACGTGAACTGAATATCCCAAATTGTTGTTTTTAGTCTTAGAGTACTTTTCCCAACCCTGTTGATCACTCTTTCTTTGTTAATTCGCAATCTGCCTTGTTTCTTTGCAACTGATGTAGTAAGCATCAGCCTCTGATTCCTTGTCTCAACCCTAGGAAATTAAAAAGGGATTTCTAATGAAGCTTTTTCGATGAATTTGTGTTTGTTTGAGTTGGAAAACCCAGTTTTTGTTCAAGCCCCGTTGAAGGCATGTAATCTTTGCTTAAATCCACACTCTTGATGGTTTAGGGGCCATGCCCTTTTAGGTGTATCACTTTTTGGGTTCTCATTTTAAACTGGACAAAATGTCGTAAAGTGGCGAAATGTTTCGATCGCATTTTTGAATAAAGCAGAGAAAATGTAAAAGTTTTTGCGTCATTTTCGTTTCCTAACTTTCCTCGAAATATTACAAGTTTTTCTTTAAAACTTGTCCTGTTTTACGAAATGGAGTAGTTATCTGACCCGTAAAAGGCGAGGCCAATCTATTGTATCTGCTGCTTCTTTTTATTGTATCTCATAAAGACCTCAATTTCAGATCACGTACTCAGTGTTCTGATTGTTGTCATAGTTTTGAGATGTGGATAGCTAATCTGAATCTAATCTGACGCAAACCTGTTGATCATGTTTACTTCCTTCTCATTGTGTGCGTGAATGCAGTCCACTGTGGTTGTGATTCAATATGTTCTTTCACTCTTTCAATTGCGAATATTTTAAGTTAGAAAGAATGGTAAATGGAAAATGATCAAGTTTCTTGACTTTGTTTCTTTTCATTAAACAATCAAATGTTTTTATGTTTATTCAGAGCTCCAATCTCAAACTTAACGGGAAACAACAGAAACACCCTAATCATTGCTACTTTGCTACATTCTGAGAAGGCAGCTTTGGCGTTGCCGGGCCAACGTTTTGCCAGGATGCTTTGCATTTTAATTCTGATCATTTCTCATAATTCTAGTGATGTCGTGACTCCCAAATCGTTTTCTTCCTGCGGCCTAGGATTGATTTAAAATGAAAATAAAACCACCTAGAAATAGGTAAATACCCTTCTAATCATGCGAACAGCCCTCAGACACTTAATTTGTAACTTCGAAGAGCAAAATTTCCTTTCTTTCATGATTAATCGTCGTGACTGTTCCAACCTAGCTATTTTCCCATCCTTACACCTCATACTGCATTGTGCCCCACTAACTCACAAGTTTAACCAATGATGTAATAACCTTTATTGTTGAAAGTATTCAAGCTTTTTTCGACAATTAAGATATTCCATTAAGGACTTTAAAGTGGTGTCAAGGTCAAACCCAAGATTCTTTCTGACTTGATTCTACGTTTAATTGTTCTCTTACTTAGTATGTGGTACCAATTCATAAGTCATATCTCTTCCGCCGTACTATCTAGTGTAGAAAAACATATCTGAATGTGCAGTCAGGATTATTCTTGCAAGTTCTTTATACCTAAAGAGCTATGCATCTTCCATGTAAATAGAGTGGAAAACTCTTCTTTAGCTCCCTGCTGATTTCTTCAATACAAGCAGGAACATTTTCAAATTTTCAGTCATCGGTGAATTTTTTAATCTAGTCCTTGTTATTCCTTTATGTTAGTTCTTTGAATTCTCTTTAAAAAATTTTATTTTTCCAAATCTGTTTTCCTGATTTGATTTAATCGTGTTCTCCGATATTCTTTGGTCTTTTTCCCACGACACCAAAGAAATTTCCAAACCTCTTTTGTTAATCTTGTTGTCGTGAAGACGAAAAATATCCTCCAAGGATTTGAACTTGGCTACTGTAAACATCTCGGTACCGGCTCTCATTTTTCCTACACATGTAGAATAAAAGAGTCGCACTACTATTTATAAGGTTAGATTACGTATTGAACGTTCCCTAAGGGTTTTGTGCATAAGCTATGTATTTTTGTTTTAAAGCTACAAGCAAAAGTTACACGACTGCTTGCCTGGCGGTTGGTTGGATTCAAGAATGCCTTGCGCGCTTCGTTCTGTTGGCCTGGTTGCCATAAATTTTTTGCAATCAGAAAAATGAGTTTGGATTATCTGGGAATCCATTCTGTTTTGAATTCGGAAGATTATTTTCATCTTGTTGACTGTATTCTTCTTTCAGCCGCACCTTCAAATTAATTCAGGCTCTTTTGATAACAGTTTTCCGCTATGTTAATAGAACATGCAATTGTTGAGTCAGTCTCAAACGTTATTTGATAACTAGCCAGCGTTTTCACAGAACCCAGCCGTTTTCATCTCAACGAATAAATTGAATTGGTGCACGAAGAATAAAGGTATTCTGAACTTGCAAAGTTGTTAACTGTTGGCTTTCTTCGTCTTTGTTTTTTCTTGCGATGAGCATTTGAGTTCCTTATTTGGGAATTTTTTTATCTAGAAACCTGCCCAGTTATGTGCCCTCGTAATGGTTTCCCACTAATCCCATAATGTACTTCCAGTTAAATCTCATAGCACAAGAGCTACAATGTGGCGAAGGACTAGCAAAAGTGAAAGTGATTTTGAGCTGAAAGAAAGAGCGACCTGGTGGTTTAAATGTTTTTTGAATCTCCAGAGCTGTACCGCACGTGTTCAGTGCTAGAAATGAACCAACCAAATCTTACCCGATAGTTTTGAGTTGATTTTTGTTGCTGTTGTAGGGCTATTTGCTATTCTACGGTATATTACTTGCTAGAACCCCAGTGCCAAGAGGCTGAGAAAAAAGCCACCAGTGCTAAGAGGCTGAGAAAATAGTCAGACCAGCAAGGCTTAGCTTCTAATTTTGATTCATTCAGTATTTGTTAAAATTATCAGAAAAAAGGGAGTGATTGCCATGGAGTTTTAAGTGCCAGAAGTAAAGACTTTTATCGGGAAATACAAAGCTATTGTAAAACAAGTTCTTTGTTGCTGACCCAGGTAAATCTGTTTATCACGTTGTACCATACTCTAGGTTCGAAAACTTGCTAACTCACCTGTGATCATCGTCTGAAGGGTAGTTTTCCCTATTGAAAATGTTATTTATGTAAAGATCTGATTTTCTTCTTAGCAGTAAAAAGTCGGCTATACATACATTTTACCTCACTTTTGATTGCCGACAGTGTCCTAAAATTCTCTCTGTAGAAACCGAGCAAGATTAAGTTGCCTAATATCCACCATGAGAATGTTTTTTCAAAGCAAAGCCGTTTTCACAAGGCTTTGGCGGATTCGAATTCGTATATAAAAGCAGAAAGGCTCGCATTAATTGGTCTTTGCCGAGTTTCATTCGATCAGGAGTGATTTGAACCAACCAATATTTTATGGAATTAGCATCACTGCAAATAAGTATACAATCGAACAGTACCTTGACCTCTTGGCCTTAAAGTATTACTTACATTTTATGTTTTCAAGGTCCTTATTATTTCCAACTATTTACGCCCATAAAAGTGTATAGTTGGCAATAAAGCTATACGTACAATCTCCCCGATATTTTCGGTATATTATGAGCGGGTAGTATGTTTCTAACTGGTTGTGTAACAAAATGAGATGTCCAGGAAAAGAGGCCTATCTGAGAGCCAACAAATAACTGCTATAGCGTTTTAGAGTAGAGTGGCCTCAGGACGAGCCCCTTTTATCTTTTGGTTTTAATTGGTTCTTTTCATAACATTTTATTTCTGTATGTTCGGGAATATAAGGGCTATTTGGTATGCTTTCAAAAAGTATAATTTTTCCAGATCTCGTAAGAATGAAGTTATGGAAAGCATTCAAGTATATTTCCTTTATATGTTTCGGTCAGATTTAGGCTTTCTTCAGTTTATCTGGTTAAAATCAAGTAAAATGAAGGCCAAAATCAGGTGAAAAAGTCAGGTGAAATAGCCTCAAATAAGTGCAGGTGTGGACATCCAGTGCTCCTTATAAAGAAAACGAGTTTGTTTTTCGGATTCACATAATGAAATAAATCAGGTATTGAATTAATCTGGCCTGATTTGAAGCAAGTTTTCTATGCACATCTGCGATACAATTATCGGTGAATGGGGTTGGGTCCGATTGAAATTGTTAATGTAATCAATACCAAAGATATATGTTTTTCACACTCCCATTTTGATCAAGGCACGTTTGTTGTTATTCTATGATAAATGCATGGCAGACAAGTTCTTTGGGGTATAGCTAAAGAAGTACCATTTCACCTTACATGAAGGGAAAATAACAAAACTGTTTTCATCATTATCATTATGACACCGTGAGATTTCATATATTACACAAGGCGTGGAATTTTTCAGCTAAACTCGAAAACCAGTGCAATACTTCTACGTTTTCGCAAAAATCTGTAAACGCAAGCCGACACTACTCATTGCAGGTATGTTTAATCACTTTACTGTTCAACTTGGATTTCTTTTATGGCTTCAAACAAAGGACGAATTACAGTAATCAGAGATTTTCACGTGTCCTATGTTTTTGTTCATATCAAAACTAGTAGATGGTAGTTGGTGTGACACCGCTTTCAGTTAGACGTACAACTTTATTTTGTGCCAAAAGATCAGAAATCGTGAGTTTTTGTTAATTTCTAAATTATATGATTGTGATAAAACGGAGCATCAGTTTTTGTAGCAGGCAACAGCATTTTAACAGTTTGCCTTTTTCAACAATTCAACGTTTCGTCACTGTGGTTGTCGAGATGATGCCATTGAATTATTCTGCTTCACTGTTAAACATTTGTTTGTTAAATGAATATTGGTTTGTAGCATGCTTCTACCACCAGGAATTGCTAATAAAGATATTTGTCGTAACCGTAGCGTAACGCATTAGGGAATTCCGGAAACATGTTGCCAAGGGAGGTCACAATTTTTTCCTTGCTGTATCTATTAAAAGACGATATTTCCCAAATAGTACTCTGTGTACACCGGGCACCAAGTACACTAGCCTAACAATAAACTGACCTATAACATCCTTTCTTATGTGCTCTACCTCTTTATCTGATCGCAGAACTGTAGTTCCAAACGTCTTCATCATAGTGTTGTTTGAGCTGGCTTCTAGGTATGGATCAACGTTAAGCGCGTGAAATATAAGAAACTTGATCGTGTTTGCTTTCCCTTGAGTAGAAAGGTTTTTGGCAGATTCTAATTTGATATGTAAGGTCTCAATTCTCCATTTTAATTATCTTAAATGCCAAAGAATTGTGAAACAAGGTTAAATCAAGCTCTATAGATATCTGTTGAGTACATAATCTACATTCTCTTATATTATGATTCGCTCACCTTTCGCACAATACACAATTAGCTTTTATGAACAACCCGACCTCCCATCTATAGCATACCAGGTGACTACCGTATTTTTTGTTTGAGTGAAATCACAGTACCGAAAAGCATCTTCCTCAAGGATGTGTATAGTGAGATTCAAAGCGTATTTAGTAGTTAGTGAAGCAAACGGAGGCTTGTTGCGTAGAATGACAGTGAAAATTCTAGTGCCCTTGTACAATCTGTGAAAGTTTGTAATAGCACCAGGCGTATTTTAGCAATTTTAGCTTAGAAGACCGACCTCACTGCTTGCCTGCCACGACTTGGGTGCTCGTCATTAATTTTTCCTCTTGTTAGTTAAGTCATTGTAACGCATGCTGTTTAAACCCCTTTAAGGTGTTGTTGTAAGAAGAATTTAGTCTTTTCATGTCTCTAGCAAGGCGATGGTTACCACAATAACGAGAACCCTCGATAGGGCACCACATTTTTGCGCAGTCTCTCATCCCGGCTGCGCAGCGTAAATATTTGAAAAAACTGGCAACTTGGGTCAGGATTCAAGTCACTGTAAGCATCACGAGGTGTATTTACATCGAGTAAAGTAAAAAGGGCAACGTTGGGTGAAAATGAACGGCGTAGTCCATTATCGTATTTCAGGGGTGTAGAATTTTAGGACTTTGAGGCAGACACCCAATATTGTCATAAGATCTTATCTTTTAAGTCGTTGGGCAATGATAGGCCGAGACTGGCTAAGCAAAGAAAATCACCCCACCATCCCAAATAAAATCAGGCTACTGATATTCCCGGGAAGTTTTGAAAATTGGATTGTTTTCCTGTCAAGCTTTCAGCAACGAATTCTTGCAATTGAGTCTTTTAGAGCTTAAGTTTTACTTTAGCTTGAGTTATAAGTTTTAGAGCTTAAGACTTCCAATGGAATTTCCGTGGCCTTATGTCTTTTCAGGCACTCTTGAAAGTTGTAGTTGTTGTTAATGTTTCATAGGAAAGTAATGTCTCCACTGCGCTGCCCTTCTTACGTCACTATCTTTCTACGCGAACACAGAACTATTCCTTATGGTATCAGTACAATCCTTTATTTGTTTGCTAGCGCTTTGATAATTAACCTTTATCTACATTGATCATACTTAATCTTGATAAAGGCTTCTTTACGACAGTTAGGATCAGACGGATTTAAAAGAGACGCAGTACTTGCTTTTACAGTCTTTTTTGAAATAGACTCCCTCCTAATATCAGTATCAGAGGGACAGATGATCCCTATTAATAGAATTCTACCTGGCCAATAAGATGGGAACTCGCCACTACAGCTCTTCCACGTTCTCCTTTTTAAATCGTAAACCCTTCTTTGTTACCACTACCTTTGTGCACAGCAGCAAATTTGCGCTTTAGTAACATTTCTTATATCACTGGTTGAATCCGGGTCTGCAAGAATCAGCTGAAAACAATCAAAACGTTGTTTCTATGGCAGCTGGTATGACGTCATCACGAAAACTTGCTTTCCCGTTTTCCATTTTCAACGAAGAATTCTATCCTTTTCCGTGGTATCCCACAGTTTCTCTTCACCAAATCTCGCCATGCTTTGAGACGCACAGGTCAGAAAGGCACACTATAAATTTTCATTCAATAGACCCATAATTCAAATTGATTTACGTATGATATTCTAACTTAATGGGATTGCGGCGAGGCAAAAAGTCACGTCCGTGGATACTCACAAGAAGAATACCACATAATGCAGTGAGTACCACAGACATCGCCCTGTTTTGTCTCAGATCAGAATTAATCAGCGTTATTATAACCAATCTAATATAAAGTGAATCGAGTTTTATAAACAGTGTAGGTTGCTCAGAAGAGAACTAAGACATGGAAATATGCTTAGGAGAGAACTAAGAAAGACAACAAGTTTTCTGATTTGTGCCATCAGTTAGATAAGCACAACAATGTAAGGAAAAAAGCCAAGATAAGAAATAGGACTGAAGAATGATATACGCAATGCTGATACTTGTTTGTAGGATTGCTAATAGGCATGCATGTAATGGATATAATAGGATAAGGGTTGAGTAAGGACTGTATGGGTCAAGGGTTAAACAGGTGTTAAAGGACGCTAGAGAATAACTTGGATGGTACAGGGGAGACTTCTAGAGATGGTCTTGTTTTATACTTTATCAACACTGATATCGGTGTGCTGTAGTCCTGTTCTATTTTTTGTCACCTGTTATTTTTCTTTCTCGTTCTATTATTGTAGCGATTACATATTAGATGAAAATAAGGATAAGGACAACGAAAGTCTTTTATGGTTGAAACTGGTTGAAATAAATCGTGATTTATGAGTTAGGAATAGCTTTTATGACTTTCGTAGAACCTTTTGCTGTCGCCCTCAGGGTTTTCCCCGTCTACACGTATTTTAGCTATACGTATCTTTTTTCATAAACGTGTGCCAGATCATCACTGAAGTGCACTTCACGGAAGTGTCATGTTCTATATTTTTCTCCTTTTATAGTCAAAAATCTTCTTTTTGAAAGTCTCACCTCCCTAAACGCTAAACCCACCCTTTTTCAAATGAGGAATTCCCGAAACTATTTGTACCTAGCGCAAGATGTAATCTAACACACAAGCGCAACAAAGTCATTGGAAGTGAAAAAGCAATAGAACAAGCACAATTTGAAAAATAAAAGGAAATAGCCGAAAGCCTAATTTGTCAGATACTATCCCGAGAGAAGTGGGTCTTTAGACGTAGCAACTCAAGATACCATACCCATTATCATTTTATACGAAACGTTTCAGTATTTCTATCGATCTATCAGTATTTGAGCTTTTCAATTGTGAACTTCTAAGATTTGAACTTTTTAATTTCGAGTTTTACTTTAAAATAAAAATTGGTTTCTAGGCTATTACAAACTTGTTAAAACTTTGTAATTACACTTTTATTTTGTAGTTAGAAGAAAGGACCCCGGGGGAAATTAGTTGTTAGACTAACCTTGCTTATCTTCTATAAATAAAGTTTATCTATCTATCGGTCGATTTTTATACTGTGCTTTGTTTCTAATAGAGAATTCCATCATTTCCACTTGGACGTGTCTTATTTTATATTTAATGAAACAAGTAGTCGGAAAGCATCAATTCAAAGCGTCATTTTTCCAGCTTTGTTTGTTTGAGCATTAGAAAAGGGAGTGATCGAGGATCTGTCAGCATGGTGAAGTAAACCAAGGTCTTTACGCTAGTCTGTTATTTCCTTGAAGTAAGCAGTTTATTTTTGTTATGAGCGTAGGCTTTTGATTAGAGTGACTCGTGCATATCACCTTTAATCCCAGTGAATTTAATTTACGATGTAATAATGATCATAAATGAGACAAAAAGATTATCTGTTTAGGAATCGTCCACCGTGTATTGTCAGCTCTTTAATAAGCGAGAAGCTGTAGCTTTGATGTTCTAAGCAAGCACTCCGTTGACTGTCATCGCCTTGATTCGCAAAACGTACGTCGTTGTTGTCGCCAACAGGAGGCTGGAAGCTGAAGGGCACTTTACAAGCATTTCAGTTTTGAATTTGAGAGAAGTCGTTGGTAGTGTGTTATGAATAATCACATTGGACTCAATCAATTTCCTTGTTTCCCAGGTAATTCTATCAGCATTGTTGTTATCAGTTAAAGTAGTTTGATAGTTTTAGTATATCCAGACACCCGCTATATTAGTTTATTCATACCACGTAATATTTCTGACCACTAAGTATAAATGTGCATTCATTCTTAATAAACTTTATGTGACTTAGAGTGGACCAAATGCAATGTGTTGCTTTTCATTAACATAGACTGGATGTCCTCACCTAATGACATGGTAATATTTGCACCCAATGAAGATTTTGGGCTGTTTTCGTTCGTAATGCCGAGTGAAACATTTTTAATGAAGACTAAATTCAAATGTGAAACTTTGAGGTCAAATAGAGTATAATGGTCAGGGATATTTCCGGAATTTGCAGCCAGACAATGGCCTGAATACTTTGGGAAGGAATTAAAGGAGCGTTGAGTGTTTGGAAGTTCGTGGTAAAGGATGCAGGAGTTGAGAGATATTTTTGTTACGATTATTAGGGGATTAAGGATGTTTTATCCAGTTTATTATATTTAGGTATGAGGTGCTTCAGAAGGGCAGAAACAGGAGCAAAGAAAATTGACAGTGCGTTATTGCTCCTTTTTGTTGTAACTTACTCTGGTGCCTACGGCAAAGTCATGCTACTGCCTCATCCATCAATGATCGTACAGCATTTGGCTTCCTTAATACTATTTTGAAAGCTGCCATGCTAAATGGCTGGGTGTAAACAGTATTCTTGTTTTTATTCATATAACTCTCCTTGCCTTTTCTTTGAGGGTCGCTATGAAGCAGGGAATTTGTCTATTTGTCGTGAGACCCTTCCATCACCAACCTAAACTTTTTTCTGTGGCGATTTGTCTGCACATTCCCATAGCTGGCAACGGTTTCTACTTCAGTATTCGAGGGTAATATGTCATTATCTCATTGAAAATCACATAATCTCATAGAAAACCTTACGCTCGCCAGGAATTCCACATCTCAGTTTCTGAAGCTTGATTTATCCACGCCAATTGCACTTTTATGAGCCTCTGTCTGTGCACTAAACGTAAACTAATGACGTAAACATAATTCGAAGTTTGTCATTTTGAAACAGAGATGGAACCCTTCTAGTTAATAAAGATATCTATATCATATTATAAAGATATCTGAACAAACACCGGAAACCTAAGATTTTATTTGTGTTAAATTTATTCACCTCCAATCTAAAGGTTATGCCATAAATTTCATTATATCTTTGATCGAAAAATTCCTTGTAGACTGGGAATCTATCGTGAGATTGACCTGGCTGGTCTTCGTAATCGAAGTAATTGGGCCTAAATATCATTTGTCACAAGATCCTCCCCGCTCTCATAGGGCGCCAAGATTGAAATTACAAGCAATTAACCTTATTGTCATGATATTTCAGATTTCATTTGTTAAGATAAGCTTGTTTGTCTTACCAATATAACTAAATTCCTAATAGTATTTTTGCAATTCAAAAGTGATCTGGGCACTATTTTTCAATGTGACGTCACTCTCAGATAGGAAAATTCGAACAAGGTGCTACGATGAAAGTGGAAATCGTAACTAAAGAATGCGAAGCTAGGTCACAGTTTCCTTTGTTACTCACTAGGCTGAGCCTTGAACGCTTGAAATCGGATTAGAAATATTGAGATACCAAGCTTTTAAAACAATTTTACCCAACTAACCAAAGTTGGTTAGACAAGAACACGTCAATAGTCTGTAAAAATTAACATCATTTTAGCCGAGGATGTGACAAAGGATAACGTTTATTTTAATCTGGCCTTAGTTTTTTGTGTTCTTCATAGAGGTTATATGCTGAAAGAAGAGCACAAATAGCGATAGCTTTGTAATTCTAGAGACTCTGTGGTCTTTTCAACGCAGGGTGCCCCTACAATGTTTTTCATTTGTAACTTACTTTGTAGAATTCGCCAAAGCCCTGAAACAAAACTTCACACCGCAGGGCTCTGTAATTTGATTGCATGTAAAAGCTTGTTAACATATTTTGACTATTCCTTCCTTTGAACAACGTTTCATGCGTTGTGATGATAATTCAGTCTTCCATTTATTGTCGATAAGAAGTGCTCAGTACAATAAATCATCCTAATTGCCACAATATGACTGACCAAGTCAACTTCGATAATTTCAGATCTTGATACGATGACGAACCTATTCCCTGCGAAATCTCAAGAAACAAAACTGGCAATTTTCTGAAAGCTAAGCTGTTTGGATGTTTTGTCTTTTGATATTGTAAGGTTTCTTTTGCAATTGCAAAATTAACTGGACGGTAAACACGTATCGGACAGTGCGCAAAACATTTTCGCTAAAAGCTATGAGACGCAATATCTTCAGTTTGCTTTTCGAATTTGCTTTTTAGTGCCAATTTTAATTGCAACATTAAACTTTCATTTTGTTTCATATAGGGAAAATTAAGATATAAGTGCTTTCGAAATGCTTTGTAAACCTAAAGAATGGTCCACCGCGACGGATATGTTCATTTTTACGTGCGTTGCAAAAAGGACAATCAGCTGATGAGTTTTTGTTTGTTTACTGTTAATCGGTGGAACGTAATTTAGCTCTCTAAAGAGATATGGAATTTGCAAATGTTTGAACTGATGACGTTCTGTTCCATGACATGCTTTGTTGAAATGTAGGTGATAGCCGAGCTGTTTCCATAGCATGTTAACCGCAATACTGTGTCACTGCTTGATAATGTACATCAGCGCACCAAATTTCACAGTAAAGGCAGAGTAACACCAAGATTTTGTTTATCTTCAACCCGTTGCGTTAATCGTGGTGTGACTTGGCCCATTCAGAGGGCGACCTTACCGTCAGTACACTGCGCGCATCTTGTTTTTATTCCTGTATCGTTTACGGTGGCAGAAACCAGTTCCTGGTGCATCTGAGATTAATATGTTTTGATAGGTTTTGGGAGGTCATGACTCCCTCCTGTTTGGTTCCTGTAAGCTCAAATAAATACGATTTGTCCGACTGATCAACTCCTCACTGCCTGTGCAACGTTTTCTCTTTGGACGGATGACAAGAAAAAGACGTCTCTCTCACTTCTCTCTAATATTTAATTTTTCAATTTATTTCCATTTTTAAAATTTTTTAATTTATTTTTAAATTTATTTCTACTTTACCAATTTATTTCTTCTTTTCTTACTTAATATTTTCTTTGTCGTCTTCCATTCAATACAATATGTTCCAAGATCTGGAGCTGACAGGTCGTTTCGATAGTTTATTTGACATGGACACTTTTCTGAGTGATGCAAATTTGGAATTCCAAGAGCCAAACAATTTCTTTGATCTGAATAACGACTGTTTAATTGATGCTTCATTTGACTTTCTTGGAAATGGTAAGTTTTTTGCGAAGTTTTCATTCAATGTGTTGCTAGGTCTGTTCTCTGTAAACCAGTACTCCTACAAGTCTTGTTGTTAGAAGCTGTCAGTTAAGATGAATACTATAGTTTTAGTGTAGTTTCTATAGACAATTTGTGCACAGCGACGTTAATAGGGGACATTAAAGTTTGCTTTAGCCGTTCTCACATCTCCTTTGCAGTGCTTATAAGATAAACATAAACCAAAGTTACCCCTGGCTAATTGATATTGGATTTGCAATCATCTGGTTATCTGAATTTGGTTGTGATTCTCGGACACGTTAGATTCTCAAACATTGGATGTATGTTTGATATAGCTCTTTGGATTCAACCAGAAACATACCTAATCCAATTACTGATAAACTTTTGTCTCCGGATAATAACAGAGGTATTGGTAGTAATCTTAAAGAACTGTGGAAAAATTAGTTCAAGGTGGATTTTGTTATTTGATCTTTTGAAGGGTCAAGGACACCCTGTTGCTCAAATTGCGCTCGAAATTACACGAATCACCACAAATTGGACGATCTAACGAATTTCAGCAAAGCTGCTTTAAGACCATTTACATTCGTGCAACGATATCATATCAACATTTTTAAATAAACATGACTTTAAGGGGTAAATAGCACCGCTTTCTTTATCTCAGGTACTTAAGACATCACGATATCACGTGATTTCCACTTTTTGGTTTGCCGATTTGCAAGAAATGGGCCGCCACACCAGTTTAATCCTTCCCCTCAGTGTTTGGCTTACAGCACGGCAGCAGGACCTTAGAAATTTTTAACGCAAGGAAATGGCGACGTTTTTAAGCCATTTTGCACGACACCCTTTACATTATAGCATGTCAGTCTTCCAGATATGCTTAGTCAATGTAAAACAATGCAATTGTCAATACAACTGCATAAATTCAAATTCATGTAATTCAGCACCATATTTTCAATTTTATCGAATACATGTTAACCAAAGATATATTGATAAAAGATACAAAGTTAGAGATTGATGCATACAATGTGCTCTATCTGATACAATTTGTTACCCAGGACAAAGATGTTGAGAGGATAAAGATGTTTTTCGAGCCCAGTGCCTTTAAGTACATACTAGAGCGAATTCGAAGTTTCTTGCTACCTAAACACTTTAAAGAGTTAATTTTGGCGAAAAACTTTGATGATGAAACTTAATATCATGACGTCATCAGAACTGCAGTAGTTGTGACCATCTAGCAGATTCTTATTTTCCAAGCTGCAAAAATATGAAGTTAATTGATTACTTTTATCTTTTTTGTATAATTTGTCTTTTTTGCATTATTTAAGTATTTTCATTTATCATAAACATCAATCCAAATTTTTGCTTTGCATGTTATTTTAGAGACGTCTGCTATTTCACTTTAGAAAAAAGGGACGTAGAAAATTGAGAATTTTAAGCAATGTTTCGTTTTGAGAAAACCGTCGACTGGATCCTTCTTACGACAGAAGCTGATTTCGAATTTTTCAAAATCTGTTAACAACTATGCATGGATGATTTCCTTTGCTAAAAGGAATTAATGTTCTGTCAGTGGTAAATAATGTCACCGTGTGAAGCTGTTTACAACCAACACTGCACAATTTTTTATAAAAGCCAGTAAATTTAAGTTCAGGCCGACTGTTCTTAATTTTTC